GAAACTCCGTCTTAAAAAAAAAAAAAAAAAAAAAAAAATACAAAAGGTGACTGCCATTACCACTGCTTTTGTATTCTCTTCTGGAAATGCTATCCAAGTCACTAAGCAAGAGAATGAAATAAGAAATATAAATATTAGGAAAAGAAACAAGAAGATCCATTTTTGCACATTTTATAATTTTCTACCTAGGGAAGAGAAAAACAAGAAAATGAATTTAAAATCTGTTAGAGGCCGGGTGCAGCGGCTCACACCTGCAATCCCAGCACTTTGGGAGGCCAATGCAGGAATATCACCTGAGGTCAGGAGTTCAAGACCAGCCTAGCCAACATGGCGAAACCCTGTCTCTACTAAAAATACAAAAATTAGCCGGGCCTGGTGGGGGGCACCTGTAATCCCAGCTACTTGGGAGGCTGAGGCAGGAGAATCTCTTGAGCCTCGGAGGCCGAGGTTGCAGTGAGCCAAGATCACGCCACTGTTCTCCAGCCTGGGTGACAGAATGAAACTCTGTCTAAACAAACAAACAAACAAAATCTGTGAGAAATAGTAACAACGGTCATTCAAAGGCGCCATTTCGTTTGGTTCCTGGGATGCCTTTGCACCTCTTTCCAGCTTTATTTCTCTTCTTGAAAGCCCTCGTCACCTTGGTCATGGGCAAATGTCTCCTCAGTAAAAAGGCTAGCCTGTCCCTATTGAAATCTCTTAGCATGAGGACTGCAGCCAAGACCCATGGCTCAATTTCAAGTTCCCTTTTAAGTGGAAACCATTTGATACCTTTTGCTCATGCAGTCCTGAAGTCTTTGAATATTCTGAAAGAAAGGGGGAAGTTCTGACTCAGAGATTTAACTCTCTGTCTGCACGAACATTGGTGACTTCACCACTAAAAAACAAACAAAAGGAAAAAAAAATTTTTTTTGGCCGGGCACGGTGGCTCATGCCTATAATCCCAGCACTTCGGGAGGCCGAGGCGGGTGGATCACGAGGTCAAGAGATCGAGACCATCCTGGTCAACAAGGTGAAACCCCGTCTCTACTAAAAATACAAAAATTAGCTGGGCATGGTGGCGCGCGCCTGTAATCCCAGCTACTCAG